CTTGGCCTTTTTAGCTAGAAGTAATGCAGCATCAACATCCACCATCGTGATAGCTTGGAGCGGACAACGACACATCGTATGCTGAATATCTGATCGGCTGTTCACTGGGCCCCGCCACATAGCGTTCCATTCCGAAGCAGACTGCTGTAACATCGCTTGCTTGTCAGTGGTCACCGCGCCCGAAGTGTCACGCCCTTCCCATTCCAGAGGCTGCGGCTGCTTCACATGTCGATGCACCGCCCCTGGCTTGGAAGTCCACGTCTCCTTGACCCACTGCGTGAATGAGGCTCTGGAAGAGACGAAGGCCCTCGACGACGACAGGTCAGCCCACTTACGAGTGCGATCAACCACGTCAGCAAGTTGACCATGCGGGACGCGATCCAAGTTTGCTTCCATCTTCTTCCAAAGGCCGACAACACCGGGATCTGCTTTCTTGCCCAAATAATCGTCATCCTCCCCATCAGGTAACTGTCCTATCTTGGCTTGAACCTCGCGCACACAGAAGGCAGCTTGATCAGGATCCGACTGATTGTAACGGAGAGCAGCATATCGGATGACAAGAGTGCTCACCATACCCCACCACTCAGCCTGTTCGTTCTTCAGATGGGCCCTGTCTGGAGATGCCGTGACCTTGGCCCAGTAGAAGCCAGGGCCGCGGGCGCGACCCGAGCAAGGCTGCCAATTCTCTGGGTCCATCTCTTCATGCAGGAGCACAGAACTTTGCAGTACCGCAATCCAAGCAGCATGAGACCTGTCCAAGTTAGCTCTGGCATCCTTCAGCCAATCGAACACAAAGTGCTTACTGCGGTCAATAGCAGAATACTTGCCACCGGCGCCGATCGGTGTATCATCGTACAAAGAGGGCGCGCCCTCCTCCCAAATCTGCTGCCCCGCGGCCGCCCAACTCTCCTCAGACATCGCAAACGAGACAGCTGGTGTCGAAGGCTCGGCAGGCGGTTCCAGCTCCCCAAAGCCCTCGTAGAGCTCAGGCGGGATGGCAAGAAGGCGACGCTGCCGCTGCTCCTCACGCTTCTTCGCCCTCGTGCTTTCAGGATCAGGCCCAACGCGCGGACGCTCTCGAACTGGAAGCGGCTTCGGAGCAGCAAGCTGCTGATACCACCTCTGAGCACGTGCAGCCTCGACCTTGATTACAACTCCACAGTGTGTGTTCCATGGGACACGGAGCTCTGCGTGCAAGCTCCATCTTGGGCATCCCACGCGCATCAAACCATAGTCATACATGCGCCCTGGGCCTCTGTCACACGTGGCCCGACAGCTCGGCGTGATGATGCTCGCGCCCAGCTTGGTCGGCCAGCCCGTGGCCGCGAGGGCGCTCGGCTCGATGTTCCAGTCGGCCATGACGAGCCAGGGGTCCGCGAGGGCCCTCGTGCAGGACCCCAAGGCCACGAGCACCTCGTTGTTCCAGCCCCTCGCTCCAGGTCCTGGCAGCAGGTATGCCGCAACCAGCACGGCGTTGCCGCTCCTCGTGTGCAGGACTGTCGGAAACAGACCCCCGGCAAGGGCCCCCACGCCCTGCAGACCTTGCGGTGGCCCGAGCACTCTCAAAACTCGTGGCCGCGATGTGTTCCTTGGTCAGAATGCATTCGCCACCCGACGGGCGTGCAGCAGAATACGCCATCCTCCAGTCATCCTTGTCAATCGAGTGGCAGACATCTTGCATGCCATTCTCACTCTTGTGCATCTCAGCGAGGGCCGCGGCGCTGCGCTCCTGCTCATGAGCTGAGAACCTAGCAGCCTGAGGCCCCAACTCCATCATGTTGCCGAGGAAGATGTCCAAGGCATCCTGATCCTCGAGCGACCCACGTGCAGGTACAGCTGCAGGCACTGCAGCATCAGGACCAGGGAGCAACTTGCCGTCAAAGGCGAGTCGCATCATCACCTGTGCCCTTGCCAGCAGCGAGGCCCTCGCCCTTGCCAGCCTCGGCGGCGGCCTCCGCGGCAGAGGCCGTGGCGTTGTCCTTGGTGCGCTGCAGCATGGCCCTCTGCTCAATTCGCGGGGACACTCTGCTTGACCTTGCTGGGGGCCGCCGTCGACTCAGAAGCTGACGCAGCCGCCGAGCCAGCGCCGGGGGAAGAGCCAAGCACCATCCCCCCCCCCTGGAGCCGAGTTGCCCGAGGCGTCCCGCTTGCGCCTCTTGGCGGCGGCCTCAGTGTCCGCCGCCTCAGCCTCGTCGAGCAGCGCTTGACGCTCCCTCTGCTTGGCCTACGCTTGCCTGGCGACCTCCTGCAGCTGCCCCTGGAAGGCCTCGAGAGCAGCCTTGTCCTCGGCCTCCAGCTGGCCCATGCACTCGGAGAGGGCAGGGTCGACCGCGAAAAGCTGCGACTGCTGAGAGCCGCCCTTGCCCCTGGCCTCAGGCGGAGCGGCAGTTTCCTGAACCTGCAGGCGGTGCAGCTCCGCGGCCACGACCTCCTCCGCCGCCTCGTCGAACTTCTTCTGAGCCATCTCGAGGAACTGACGGGCACACTCCAGACTCTTGGCGGCCCTCTCCAGCCCCTCCTGCTTGCGCGAGCAGCCCGCCGTGGCCTCCTTGAGCATGGCGTGTGCAGGCTTGACTCGGCAACACCCCAACATACTTATACTATATGTGCGTCGCCCCCCCCAGGGGCGACGCGCGCACCGAGAAATCTTATAGTATATGCGTCGTGGCGGGCGCTTTCTGGCCACACCGCTCGGGAAACGATATACTACAAGATGGGTATACTATAGGTTCGGGTCGGACGCGCGCCTCCAAGGAGGACATATAGTATTAGTATGTCCATGTGCGTCCCATTGACAGCAGGGACCGCCACCTGCTCCTTCGAGGACGCGAGCGCGGCGAACTCCGAAGCCAAGCGGGCCGCATCGGGATCCGACGGGAGAGCCCCACGCGCGCACGAGCGCCTGCGAGAGGCAGCCGCCCAAGCTGGCGAGGGACGGGGGCGCGCTGCGACGACTGGCCGCCCTTGGTGCCCCTCCTCCTCCTCCTCCTCCTCCTCCTCCTCCTCCTCCTCCTCCCCCTCCTCCCCCACTTCCCCCTCCTCCCCCTCCTCCTCCTCCTCCTCCGAGCCGCTCGCCCGTGGCGCCCACCACGTACCGCTGAGAGACGTAGACCAGCCTGGCATGGGCGGCTGGCACACCGCGCGCAAACGCCATCCTGCCTCTTCAACCTCCAGTTCCACGCCCGATTGCCGCAGTGAGCGCAGGTCGGGGAGCCACGCTTCGGAGACTGAGGCATCCGCTCCGGCAGGAGCCCACAAAACTTGCAGTGCCTGGCTGGGCAGACAGCCAGGGAGACACGCACTATAGCCGAAGGGCAGACCGTGTGCGCGGACACGGGATCGCAGGCGGGGGCGCACTTCCCCCGTGCCAAACTCAAATCCTCAGAGCCTCCCGCTACGGAGTTGAGCCCAAATGGCTACGGAGGAGGCTGAGGAGGAGGCGGAGTAGGAGGAGGAGGAGGAGGAGGAGGAGGGAGGAGGGAGGAGGGAGGAGGGAGGAGGAGGAGGGAGGAGGAGGAGGGAGGAGGACGAGGGAGGAGGGAGGAGGGAGGAGGGAGGACGACTATGTCGTTGTCCCTCCGAGGACGACGACCGGTGCGCGTGGCACGTCCAGGCGAGCCGCAGCGTGAGGGCCACTGTGGGCCAGCCGGGCAAGTCCGCCGCGATGCGCCTCCGCCGGAGCAGGCGCGCCGCTGTCGGGGGTGCGGCGAGCTCTGGGCAGAGGTCCGGGGCAGCGATACGTGGGGGGGGGGGGGGGAATAGGCATAAGGTCAAGTCGGGCCTGTCCCTCTGCAGGAGGTGTTTTCGAATTTTCAGAATTGGTAAGAAAATAGTGTGGGGACGATGTTTTGAGTATTTTTTGAGCATTTGGGCTCTTTCAAACAAGTATTTTGTATTGTTCGCCCAAAACCCCCATGTAGGAGGACAGGTCCGGCTGAAGCCTAGGGGGGGATGCATCGACCCCCAGTCGCCCGCCCATGATGGCCGATAGGGGCCCGATGGCCAAAACCTGCCCAGGAGGGTGCGGACTCACTATCTCGGGTCGGGCGAAAGGGGGGGATTGGGAAAGGGGGGGTTCGGCCTCACCGAGGGGCCCATTCCTCGATACATGGGGCGTCTCCCGGCGCCGGGAGGCGCCGGGAAAATCAGCTACGTGAGCTGATTCTCAAACCCCCCCTTTGCTATCCCCCCCTTTCGCCCGACCCGACTATCGGAGGTCTATCGCCGATCCGTCGGCGGTGTATCGCCGATTCCAGGCCGATGCATCCCCCCTCTGTGCGAGCCCCCCCCGTATCGCTGCCCCTCGAGAGGGTGCCGAGCTGGCCAGGCGCCGAGCACCGAGCGCCTCCCGACGCGCAGCTGGCCGGCTACGCGTTGGCGGCCGGCTACGCGTTGTGGACGTGAGCTCTCTCTCTCTTTTCTTTTTCTCTCTCCCTCTCTCTCTCTCTCTCTCTTTCTTTTTCTCACACTCTCTCTCTCTCTCTCTTTCTCTCCCCTCTCTCTCTCTCTTTCTCCCACTCTCTCTCTCTCTCTCTCTATCCCACATCCACCCTTGTTCCGCCCTTCTCCTCTTCCCATCTCTCTTTTTCTTTCCCCGCCTTTTTGGTTATTTACCCGGCAAGCGGGTGCTGTGATACATTTTTCGTTTCTTATCATGTGCGTTTAGGGGTGACGAGTGAGAGCCTGAGTGGTGGTCTGGCTCCCCCGCCCGCCTGTGTGCGAGGTGCTGTCGTCGCCCCCTTCTCCGCACTTCTCTCGCTCCTTCCTCCGACCCCTGCTGCCGTTGCTCTCCCGGGCCGTCCACCTCGTGGGCCTTTTTGGTAAGTGGTGCGTGCACGATGATTTTTTTTGACATGCCGTTCCCACGCATGTCGTTTTTGCATGGCGCCTCTCTGTCTCACAGTTGCGCCACCACCGCTTTGCCCGTGCGCCTAGACGTGCACGGCATCTCTCAGGGGACGACGGAACCCAAGAACATATGAAAGCATATGGGGATTTCAGGGGGGTGTGTATCATCGACTTCATCTGTTTGTCCATGGGCCCCTTTCAAGAGGGGAGAGACCCCCGAGGGGAGACCGTCCAGCAGGGCGGCCCTCGGCTGTCCATAAGCACCCGTCTGCATGGGGTGCTATATGTTGGCCGACGCCGACAGGCCTGCGCAGCTACCAGGGGTATGGAGGCCCTCTCCCTCCCTCTCTCTCCACTTTTACCTCGGTGGCGAGCTCAGGGGGGAAGGCAGAGGGAGCACTCTGGTGGCTGCGCAGCGTCGACTGCTGAAGGGGAGAGGTGGAACTGCGCGCCGTCGCGCGGCTGAGACTTCCCTACTCCTTCTCCTCCTCCTCCTCCTCCTCCTCCTCCTCCTCCTCCGCCTCACGCTGTGCTTGGCAAGAGGCGACTGCGATCGCCCTCCGCGCCGCCGACCGGGTCCTGGGGCCGGAGGTTGGCCGTCCGTCGGGTGTGGAGCCTGCGAGGGGCTGGGTTCCCGAGGCACTGCCGGAGCGCAGGCCATATTCAAACGACGCGAAGATCGGGACAAAATCGGATCGGGATAACTCGAAATCTGTGAGAATCGGCGGGTTTGGAGGATGTATTGGGCGCCGCGGGCGCTCCAGAGCGTTCCGGAACGCTCTGAGAGCGCTCCGGAACGCTCTGGAGCGATTTATCCCGATCCTAGCCCTGTTTTACATACGCCAAAGCGAGACCTTGGATTCGTGATGCTTTGCCCGTGGGTTGTGAGCAGGCCGCTGCTGGTATCTCGCCTAGCAGCAGCGGCCCTTTGGGGCGTCCAGGGATGAGGCCCCCGAAGGGGTCTCTGAGTCGATCACGGCTTCTGGTAGTAATAGGGCTGGCCACGCTGTGCCTAGTACGGTTGGCCCTGTGGGTTCCCATAGGCCTACTTGTTTAGTAGCGCCCCTGGGGCTCCAGATGCTGTGTCTAGTACCTGCCCGCCCTACGAACTCATCCTGACTGGGCTCGCCCGACCGCATTGAGAAATCAATCGGCTGGGTGTCACCCGCGGACGGGGCTTCCCTGAAGCGGTAAACCGCCACGCGGCTAGGGTAGCCGCCCATTTTAACCCTCGTGGCTCTCTTGATTTCGTGCCTACGGAGTGCGTTTGGCTTGCGTTCCTCTCCCACTTCCTCCTCCTCCTCCTCCTCCTCCTCCTCCTCCTCCTCCTCCTCTTCCTTCTTCCCTTGTTTTTCGCAGCCCCGCAGACTTGCACACACCGATTTTGAGACACACCACAAGTGTGACGTCAAGTCGGCCGCGGCCAATTAGCCAGATGAATCATTCAGCGTCTCAGTGCCGCTTGCTTGGCACCTCTGGCAGTCAGCAATCGAAGTGTTGTTGACGTTTGCAGTCAACAGGCTGACGCCGTTCCGCTGACCCTCTTAGGAACAACGAGTCCACTGGTGAGGTCTGGTCGAGCCTCTTGAGCATTCGTCTGGTGCCTTGTTGGGGCCTCTGGGGGGCCTCTCGGGGCTTCTGGGGGGTTCTTGGGCGCCTGCTTGCGGTCTGGAGGTCCTCTTGGGACGGAAGGCTCGAAATGTCAGTTCGAGTTGCCCTTCTTGGGCCCCTCTTGTGCCACTATTAGGGCTCTCTTGGGCGCCTCTGGGGCTGTCTTGGGGCCCCCTTGCGGCAATCTTGGGCCGTCTTGGAGCCCTCTTCGGGGCTTCTTTGGCCGTCTTGGAGCGATCTTTGGGGAGTGGTTTGTGATTTCTGAAGCCCCCGTCCCTCATTACAGTGCTTGGCCCCCTTCCTCTCGCGCGCCGCCGCTGTTTCAAGCCTCGAGCGCAAACCGCTGTTTTTCGACATGGGAGTGTAGCAAAGGCGTCCGTCCAACTGCAAATTCAATATTTCTTATCCCCCTTACGCTCACATCTTACTTTCGCTCACCCTCTTGTTCTGCTTCCCCTTCTTCCTGCAGATTTTCCTGGAGGTCTTCTCTCCGAAACGCCGGCTGGCGCTTCATCCCCACTAGCGGAGCACTTCGGTGCTCTGCGGCGAGGCTTGGCGGGCATTGCAAAGTGCCCCCCAGCGCAAGGACTACGTCTACCACTGCGCGCGAACAACTTCGACTACCCCTTGCGGGGGGCCGCAAGGCCCGAAGAAACGCCAACGCCACTCCCACGCGCCGGAGGAAGTGTCGCAGCGGGCAGAGAGGCGCTTGGAGGTGGCGCGCGAGAGGGCGACTCGCACCTGGTCGTGTCCACGCTGGGACCTTCGCGACGAGGCCAGCCGCCAGAAAGTGCGACTTCGCGGCGCCTCTCCCCTGGTCTTCGAAGCCGAGGTGGGGGAGGAGGAGCCTGCCGAGGAGGCGCCGCCGGCCGAGGGCCCGCCGTGCCGGCCACCCGACGAGGAGCTGGCCGCGGAGCTAGAGCCTCCGCCGAGGGGCACCTTGACAGCGGCGCCTCGAGGCGCAGGCGCAGCCCAGCGCCGAGGCGCAGGCGCAGCCCGGCGCCGTGGCGCAGACGGAGCCCGACGCCGCCGCCGCCGGGCAACCCGGCGGACGACCTTGCGTGCTGGCCATAGCCGCGGGCAGCAGCAACGCCATGGCGGTGAGCGGCGCGCGGCGCCAGCCTCGCATCTTCGGCGCGGCGCCGCGCCGCTACAGACAATGCGCAGCCGTGGCGTCCACCGAAACGCCGCCGTGGTAGAGCTTAGAGCTGGAGCGCGACGCTGCGTGCCCGTGCGCCGTCGCAGAATGGGCGCGGGGCTTGCGACGGTAGATGGCGGCCACCGCGCTCAGCGTGGAGCGCCCAAGGGCCCCTGCTGAGCCTCGCCCGCGGTGCGACGGCACGGGCCATCTCAGACGAGGTCTCGGTGGAGATCCTGCAGCGCGCCGCGGCGCTGAACCTCGGTGGCGGGCGGTGCGCTGTGGCGAGGACAGGAGTATATGTCCTTTCGGCGGTGTTGCTCGCCGAGTTTCCTCCCGGCCTGGAGGCGCAGATGCTCCGCGCATGGCTGGGCTTTCTCTACTTCACGCCGAGCCGCGACGAGGACATGCGGAGCATGTTCCTGCGTTTCGCCCTCCTGCTTGACCGCGCTAACCAGCGCGCGCAACTAGGGGCTTCGGTTCCTTTCAGGATTGGGATGCTACTGCCGCTCTTGCGTTTACCAGCGCGCAGAAGGGCGGATATCCCGCGCGAGTGCGACTGCGGGCTGCCCAGGGCGGACCAGGAGCGCCAGCAGGTTAAAGCGCGGCTTCTCCGAGACCGAGCGATCGAGGAAACCGTATCGCAGCCGGGCGAGGCGGGGGCGCCGGGCGTGCTTCGCGGGCGCCGACGAGTGCCCGCTGCCGCTGCGCCTGGCCATGGCGGCCGTGAGCAACGACGCGGCGGCGGCGCGCCCCGCCTGGCGCGCTGGGATCGGAGGCGGTCGCGGCGGCGAGGCGGGCCGGGACGTCTCTTTCGACCTCGGACAAGCGGCGGGCGACGAAGGTGACGGCGAGACGTGCTGGAGCGCGGCCGATGAGTGGTGCGTGCGGGGGCCGAAGACCCGTGGCCGGCCGACAGCCTCGGGGCGGGGGAGAGCGCGGCCGCGGGCGACCGCTTCTACCTCGCCCAGGTGCGGTTGGCTGCGCGGACGGCAGAGCGCCAGTGCCGCGCCGCAGCTGGCTGGTTTGCTCCCGAGCACGAGACCGAACGGCGCCGCGTAGGCGTCGATCGCCGCGCCAAACGCTGCCCTCCCCGCGCCGCAGGCTGCCCACCGAGGTGCGGGTTCTTTGCGGGCCAAACCTTCGTGAGCATGGGCCGCGTGCTGGAGCTGGACATCATGGGCTTCGAGGGTCGGCCCCGCGGCCGCAGGGGGGCCCGCGTCGAGCGCGGCGCCCCCCGTGGTCGTGAAGCACTATCGTTGCGGCGAGCCAGGCCGCGCGGATGCCGAGTGCGCGAGCCCGGGCAACCTTTGCTGCAAATGCGGGCAGCCCCGCCGCCTAGCCGGCGACTGCGAGCAGCTGCGCAAAACAACTTCTTCGCCGCGGACGACGAGGCGCCCCGGCGCGAGGAAGAGGGGGGGGGCAGGGCGCAGCGTAGAAAATGGAGTCACGCGAGCACGAAACCACCTCTGAGCTAAAGTTTAGAGCGAACCACGACTTACAGGGTAAGTGGTGCTGCGCGCGAGGTCAGGCCGCCGTCGCGCGCCAGAGAGACCCGACGGCTTTGTTAAAGCTTAGCTTCAGTTGCTGTGCGCCGCCGGTCGACGAGCCAGTCCCCGGCTCTGCGCCGGGCGGGGTTCGGGGGGCGCGAGGGGCAGACGCCCCCGAGGGCGTCGATTTTGAGGGGGCCGATGGCCGCGCGAGCCCCGCGCCGAACACAAGGTAAATGTGACCCCGAACGCTGGGCCTAATGGACATCGCATTCGAAGAGGGCCTCAGCCCCCGCCGCTCCGTCGGCAGCAGCAGCAGCGCCCCCCTCGCAGCCTCCCCGCCCCCTTGGGCGCGCCGCCCGAGCTGCTCAGCGGCTAGGGCGAGAGCATGGGGCACGGGCGACGGGTCGCACCTGGCCCTTGGCTTCAAGAGCGTCTTCGCCCTGTCGGGGGGCCGAGCCGCGGCCAGACAGCGCCTTCGTTGCAATGCGGGCGAACCAGGGGCCAGGGGGGCTGGGTCATGGGCGATGAGGGCGAGCTCATCGCGCCCTTCCGGCACTGGCTTTGGCGGGGGAGGGCTCGAGTCCTGAGCCTCAGGACGGGCGCGAATCAATTGCGTCGCCCATGCGCGAACTCAGATGTAAATTCGCTGTTTGACAGATCGCCGGAGGGCGTCGACCGCGACCTGCGCGACGGCGATGTCCTTGGCTCCGAGCTTTGCGAACAGATCGGCCCGAGGATTTCCCATGAAACGGTGGTCTCCTCTGCCGACGCTCCATCATCGACCAATTGCTCAGACGACCGATGCGCGGCGGTCCATGCCGTCGATGGCCGTGAACCCGACCGCTCAGACAGCCTAAAAACCTTGCGCCAGATCGACGTGCGGCGCGCGAGGCCGCGCTCGAGCCAGGGGTCCCAGCGCTGGCCCGCGCGTGAAACAGGTGAGATACATGATCGCGGATTATCGTGGGGTTAACAGGGCCCACGCGCGTCGCCTCAAGGCCGGCCCGCCGCTCGCCCCGAGGCGCTGTTTGAAAAGGTCCTGGCGCCCCGCCGAATTTCGCTCGGAGTGGCCGGCCACCCTCCGTGATCTCAACCGCGCTCCAGCCGCGCTTCGCCGCCTCGGGGCGCGCTCCGGCCTACCGGCTGCAGTCGCTGAAAAGGAGCGGGCCCCCGGCGCCTCCCGCGAGACCCCAGCGCAGCGCGGGGGGGCGGGGCAGCGGCGGCGGCGGCCTGGGAGGGATCTGATTCGAGGGAGGCCGTGCAAGAGAGGAGCTGCATCCCAATTCCAGCACCCCGGAGGAGACCCCAGAGGAGAGATTCCCTGCTCTCGGAGGGGCTGCCTCTGTTGCCGCGCATCGCGAGCCACCTCGGCTTCAAACTTGCGAGGGAAGGCGCTGTCCGTTCGGTTGCGCCCGGGCCTGGGGCCCGTAGAAGTTCACTGCGAGCCTTCCTTTCCCGCTCGACCGATGCCGACCGACGGGCCGCCCCCCCCTCCCGTGCAAGCGTCTGCAGCAGGGCAATGAGACGGTGCTCGCCTGGCTTGTCTGGCTAAGGCAGCCGCGCGAGCTCCGTCGAGGTGCCCGCCGGCGGCCGCGTGCAGCGCAGCTCGCGCCCCATAGAAAGCAGCGCGAACGTCTGCATAGTCGCATCGCTAAGATGCAAGCGGCTGCGAGGCGCCAGGCGCGAATGCCCGACCGCAGTGCGTTCGGGAACATTCAGAACAGCAGCCCGAACCTCGGCGGCGCCGATCTCCAGAAGGAGCGGCCGCTGGCCAGCTCCTGAAGGGCACGCCATGCGTGCACAACCGTGAGTCTTCCACACTTTGCCCCAGTCATCGAGGCAATCGTCCGCCAACTGGCAGGGCTGCGCGCCAGAGCTGGAGCAGACCGCTTCCTGCAGCGCCTTGGTTTTCGTGTAATGATTGGCCCTGCTGGCTCCATTCGCGAAGCTTGCAGTCGCCCGCTCCGTCCAAATCCTACTGCGCTCGCTGGCGAAGGACTTAAGTGTGCAGCTGGCCTGCTCGATGATCCAAGCCAGCACGTCATCGAAGTGGGCGTCCGTCAACGCCTGCGTGCGCTGATCGAGGAACTGGCGCGCGGCAGGGTCCGCGGCCCTGAGCGCCCGCTCCATCCTCGAGAGACGGTCGAAGAAGGTCTCCGTGTCATCGAGGAGGATGGCCAATTTGAGCATGGCGCTGGCGCTCCGCTCAGCTGGCTTCTGCAGCTCGGGGATCCCGGTTCTCGAGCGCGCGTGAACCCGACGACGATGGCGATCCCAGCCTGCAGCGACAGCCCACGCGTCAGTTGCCATTTTTCGAGTCGGGGGCCTTTGCGCAGGCTGCTTCCAGGCGTGCTGCGCCCGCCGCCAGCGTTGCGGTCAGGCGCGGTCCACCTGCTGCGGGTCTCCGCGCCCGACAAGTAGTGCCCGCGCAGCTCGCGCTCGATGGGCTGCATGGCGTCATCCCAAGGCGGCCTCGTCCACAAGCGCCCCCCCCGTCCGAGAGATCAGGCCCGCGTCCACCCCGAAGTAATCGCACGCATGGCCAGGCAGGGTCTGCCTGCATGTCGTGGCCTGCCCCGCCACCGAGACGCCTCCCAGGGGTTTGAGCCGCGGCGTCAGAGAAGGCGGCTCCATGTTGAAATCCCCGCCCACGATCCAGGAGTGGCTCCGGCCGGCCATGTTAGTAGCCCGCCTCGCGCACGATGGCCTGGTTGCCCGCGCCCAGGCCGACCGAATCGCGCAGGTAAACCGACGCGCAGATGAGGCCGCCAGCAACGCCCCAATGGGCATGCCCTGCCGCGGCATAGCATGGCACCGCGACTCCCGACTTCTGCCCGGGAGGCATGGGCATCTGCATGCCAACCTGAGCCAGCACTGCGCAGCCCCCATGGGCGCCGCCTGCCTGCGACGGAGGGGCAGGCTCCCAGACCCCGTGGCGCCCAAGTGTCTGGGCCCGCTGCTGAAGAACGGGGGCCTTGTCCAGGCCGGCATGGTGCTCCTGCGCCAGGGCGATCTTGGAGCCAAAGACCTCCCGCGCCAACGAGTTCTCCAGCGCCCCGCGCGACGAGACGTTGGTGGTCGCGATGAGGCCCTTGACCAGCTGGCCGCTTTCCTGGACAGGTGGGGCCAGAAGTTCGCTGGCCTCCTAATCGTCGGCAGCCGCAGGGCAAGTCCGCTTCTCTACCACTGCGATATGCTGCGAGACCAGCTGGATCTGGATGGGGAGGCTTGGCAATGAGCTGGCGAGCGCGGCACTCGCTGAGCTCCTTGATGGCCGCCGTGCGCAGGACAGCAATCGCCCCACTGCTGTCGGGCAATTCCTCGAGGCCATCGATCTGGTCGCGGAGCTCGACGATCGGATATGCGTCCTTATCCGTATCGCCCTCGTCGACCTCCATGCCGGGCTTGTCGGCGGGGGCCTTCGCGGCCGCTGCTGCTGTCGCTCCGGCGGAAGCGACAGGCCCAGGCCTTCGCTGCAGCTTGGCGCTCGCGCTGCCTCTGGCTCGCCATGGCGCCGGGGAGCTGGCCATTGCGAACAGGGGCAGGGGGCGCGGTGCAGCTCGCAGCATGGCCGCGCTGACAACGGCAGCGCGCTGCTCGACCGCTGCTGCTCTCGCGATAACAGTGGTAACTTGGCTGCGCCAGCCTGCCGAAAGCACGGGGGCTTTGAGCCGCCCTGTTGGCTGCGTTTCAAGCTCCAGCCTCGGGGGCCACGTTGGAATTTGGGCCAAAATGTCCACGGAGGAGGACGACGAGGAGAAGGAGGTTGGGGGGGAGGAAATGGAGGAGCTCGCGATACGGGCCCAAACCGAGAGCGCAGGACTTGAAGCGCTTGAGCCCATTCTTGCGTTGGGTTCGCGGGCGCAAGGTCCGCGTGGCCATCCGGAAATTGCCAGGGCGCCATTGTCTGGTTTGGGTCACGGACGCAGCTCTCAAAGCAGTAGCGGATGCGTCGTCCGGCCTTGCATTCCGCGGGTGTGTCATTCTTTCCAACACGGGCTGCGATTCGACGCCCGCATCTCCAGATGGGGCCTGCAATATCTACGCATGTCAATGCACGCGCCAACGCCGAACAGTTCGTTCGACATGCAGAGGCGAGCTGCACGGCTTGGTACACGCCTTGGATATCGTCGTGTTGATGCAGGTCCGCTCCATCAGATCTATCACGGCTGCGAAGCTATAGTGCAAAGTCTGGCAGACGACATGGACGATGGTCGACTCCAACCTCTTGCCGGCGCAGTTGTTGACGCTTGGAGCGCGGCCGCGGCAGACGCTGGCGATCTCGCCCAGGACAGCCTGAAGCTGTATGCCGTCAGATTGTGAGAACGCCTGCAGTCTTGCACCTTGCGTCGTCTTGACAGGACACACGCGATTGATATGCTTGTGGACGGCCTCACGGGGGGGTCTGTCCTTCGTGGCCAGCTGATTGCGGCCAACAACAAGGGCGCATACCGCTCGACACGCGTTACGGCCAGCGCGACCTTTGTGAACGGCCGCAAGCGGACAACGGGCAGCACAGTGGTCCGAAACAGCTGAGGCAATTGAGAAGTTGCTTCAGCCACCCAACAGTTCCAAATTATCACACAGAGAGTCTTTCTCGCTTCAGGGGGGCTCTGGCGAAAACGGCGGCCCTGCAGTGAAAACGCGTAGGGTTTCGGGCACAAATTTGTGTTTGTAGCAAGACCTGTCTAGGCCAACGCCGGTGTGTGAATGTGTAGAGCCAGACATGGGAGTTGATTCGTTGAAGGGTGCGTTGCATAGACGGCGGTTGTCACGACATAAACTGCCCGTATACAGTAAAGCGGGCAGTCAAGATGGATTGTCCCTGCAGGGACCGTGCAGTCAAAATCGATTCCCTTTCCCTTCTCACTTCAGTGTCCTTCTCCCATTGACCGGCGTCTGTCGTGAACACGGTGTCACCATGGAGGCAGTGGTGATGAGGCACCACGCGATGCGCATCAGATCTTGGTTGTCACATCCACAGTAGCAGTGTAGGTGTTCTCCCAGGAAGCTGCCAGAGTACAGCAGGGCAGCGTGCGAGATAGACTGACGATGGCAGGCGCCTGGGCATTGACAACTGCCAGGGCCCACGTAAGGCATCACGGTGTGTGTGTGTATATATTGTATGTCGGTGTCACAATGAACGCATGCGGTGTGATCGGGTACATTTTCCGACCATGCTGGCTACATGGTTTTCGACTGGCCGACTACTGAATTTTCCGGAGCGTGGAGGCCGTGCGCCAAACTTGCGGGCAGTGGTTTGGGATGTTTGAACCCCCCATCCTTCATTACAGTGCTTGGACCCCTCCTTCCGCCAGCCGCCACTGTTTCTAGCCTCGAGTGCAAACCGTTCTTCTTCGACAGGGGAGCGTAGCACAGGCGCCCGCCCAACTGCGAACATAATAATATCTCTTTCCCATGAACTGTCACATGTTACTTTCACTCCTAGTCATGTTCTGCATCCTTTTTTCCGCAAGATCTTCCTCGAGGTCTTCTTTCCGAAGCGCCGGCTCGCGCTTCAACGGGGCCTCTTAAGCCGTGACTATGACGACGAACGGAGCGACTGTCCGAGACATTCACTTTCCCCGAAGCGACTGGGGCGATGTTTGCCGCCCTCTTGGAAGCTCTCTTGGAGCCTTGGTCAGGCGCCCTGACGGCCACTGGCAGTCGTGAGGCCATATTGGCTGTTTCCAAGCTCTCGTCGGCGTATTAGAGCCTAGCCTGAGCCAGCTGACGTGGCATCTTGGACATTTTGGATGCCACGGCGTGTAGACTTCGAGGCCCCAGAGGCCCCAGGGGTGCATTGATGAGCCTGGGAACCCGCCCGATGAGCCTGGGACCCCCCTTTTAAATCGGTTCGTCGACCCTGGGGGAGGGGCAAAGAGGGAGGGGGACAGCCAATTATCTCACACGCCTTCCCACCCCCGGCAAGTGGGGTCAGCTAGATTGTATGCGTGGAATGCATACTGATAAGTGTATGGGACGTCTCGTCCGCTTGCGCCACTAGGGCGCCCGTCCGCACTGGGCGCGAATCTGTTACTGTTGGCCGACGCCGACATCTCCCCCGTTTACCTCGGCGGCGAGCCTCGGGGGGAAGGCCGACGGGGCGGGCCTTTTTCAGAAGGCTCGAGTGGCTTCGGGTCTGAGAGGTTTTCTGGGCCTTTTGCGAATATCGGGACAGCTTCTCACGACTGGAGGGCTTCCGAGAAGCCCCGTTGTCTTCTGAAAAGGCCTGCTCTCTCTCACTTCCTCCTTGGGCGCTCCGTTGATTTACCAGATTGCCAGCCATTTTGCCTTCGAGAGTGTTGCAGGTGCTCGCTTCGAGGTGGCGTCGTGTTCGCGAGCCGAAATCCCAGAGGGCTGGGAAGCTCCGTGGGGCTGCCGCAAGTCTCGAGACCGCTCACCCATTACCGTTCGCGCCAAGGTGACTCGCGGTCGAAGTGACAGCCAACCAAGCTACAAGCTAGTAGTTGGCACGCCAGCCAGAGTATCGACTACATATTTGACAGGGCTACTGTGGAGCAGCTGGTATCTGGCAGTCGCACGTCCAGGTCATTTGTGCTCGTGCTGCAGTCCCCTCGGCGGCGCTCTTCGGCGCCGCCTCTGACGAGCTCCGCCCGCCGGAGCTTGAGGGGCCAGCCCGCCCCGATCCGAGAGATCCGCGCGGAGCTAATGCAGCTCATCCTTAGGTGGGGCCTGTCCCTCTACAGGGGGAATGTTCAAGAATAGTACAAAAATAATAGGTGGACGCTTTTTCTACTATTTTGCAATATTGTGGAGTCTGTTTTGAACATAGTTTCTGTATTTTCGTCGAAAACCCGCCTGTAGGAGGACATGCCCGACCTACGGTAGGTTCGTGTCGTGTCGACCGGCGGCGACCCCGCCAGCGGCGTTCAACTCTGAACGCCGCGGGCGACCCAGAGTCGTTCGTTGTGGAACGACTTGACGTTTCGGAAACGGCCGACCGTTCAAGGCGGAACGATCCCCGCGGTGTCGGAAACCGACGCCGAAGTCGGCACGACGCGAACCTGCCGCAAGCTCGTGACAGTTGATGCAGCTCCTTGCCTCGCTGGGGGCCCCGCAGCGGGGGGGGGGGCGCGGCCTCGGCGCCTCGGGCGCCGCAGGTTCTCGGGCGCTCCGCTCGGCTACCCCCCCGGGCGCCCCCCCCGCGAGGCGGCGCCGCCCCCGCCTCGCCTGGGCCGCGCCGCTCGCCTGCGCCCGCAGTGGTCTTGGCATCGCTCGGACGTGTGCGTTTTTCAGGAGGGAAAAAACACACAGACACAATTAATCCTCGATTCCCAGGAAAATATGGGAAAATATGGGAATTGGGGGGGAAGACAAAAACCCAGAAAATATGGGAAAATATGGGGACTAGTTTTATTTGTGTGTATCTATTTGTGTGTGTGTGTCCTGATTTCCCTTTAGTTCTTCCCTTCGGCGAGGACCATCGAGGAGCATCCCTGAGACCACGTGGCGCAGAAGCCGCGCACGGAGCCGAACAGAGCACAGGGGGGTGGGCGTCCGAGCGATGGCGAGCTGGGCCACGCCGCTCGTCTTGGGCCGCAAGTGGTGGGCTAGCGCGTCGACTGGCTGCTCCGCTCGGCTCCCCCACTCCGCGGCCCCGCGGGGCGGCGCGGCCCCCGCCCCTCGCCGGAGCCTCGCCGCTCGTCTGGGGCCGTAGTGATGGGCCAGACCGGGGGGGGGGCGACCAAGAGTCAGGAGGGAAAGAAACACACAGACACAATTAACCCTCGATTCCCCAGAAAATATGGGAAAATGTGGGAAGTGGGGGGGAAGACAAAAACCCAGAAAATATGCGAAAATATAGGGAATCCTTTTATTTGTGTGTATTTATTTGTGTGTTTGTGGGCCCCTTCAAAGAGGGGGGTGAGGACGGGGGGGGGGGGGACCACAAGGCAGGGGCCATGAGATCCCCCCAGATTCCATGGCGCCTCTTCTTGTTTCAGTGCGTCCCCGGCCCCCCCCCCCCTTGGGCCGCGCACGCGCCGCCGGCCATGGTTTGCGCCCCCCCCCCGCTTGGAGGCCCCCCTGTTGGCCGCCCCCGATGACGAGGGGGCGGCCCAGATCCCCTAGCGTTGTGAACAACATCGCGGCGGGAGGTTCTTCTCGATCTTCGGCCTCCAGGGGCCCTCGCCGGGGGGGCCGTCCACACACGACGCAGGGATGAGAGGCCAGTCCCAGGGAACGATGGGTCCCGACCTCCGGGGGTCGACGCTGTGGACAGAAGTCACGACGTCGGGGGCCTGGGAACGTCAGGGGGATCTTCGGACGATTTCGCGTGCGCGGCAGGTTCGCGCCGTGTCGCCTTGGCGGCGACCCCGCCGCGGGCGTGGAACGCCGCCAGTGGCCCAGAATCGCCCCAATATGTCACCACCCACCAAACCACCCCAACCCAACCCGAAGGCCCAAATTTATCCTCGATTTCCAGTGGGGGGGGGGTCGGGAAACACTGAAAAAAAACATGGAACCCGTACCCCCCCCAACCCGAAATTCGGGTCGAATTCGGGTCTTCGGGTTGGGTTGGGGTGGTCTGGTAGGTAGTCAATATGGAACGATCGGGCGATCGGCAGGGCGCCGATCGTTCCAGGTGGCACGAGATCCGCGCGGTGTGAGATCCCAACGCGGGGGTCGTCACGACGCGGACCCGCCGTGCTGGCTGGGCATCGCTCGGACGTGTGCGTTTTTCCCTTCGGCGAGGACCATCGAGGAGCATCCTTGATCATCTGGCGAAGCAACCGCGCACGAAACCAGAAAAAGCACAGGGAATGGACGTCCGAGCGATGGCGAGCTGGGGTTTTGGGATGCTCGAGGTGCGGGCTTTCGGGTGTTCTCGCAGGAGCTCGGCGGCGTTCCGGCCTCGGGGTGCTCTCCAGCGGCGACGCCCCGCCGAGATTCGCTCGGGGGTGCCAGGGCCGCCCCGAATGGCCGCCAGAGATCGGGCGAAGAGAACTGTGCACATGCACCGATCCTGACAACGTCCATCCTTGACCCAGGATCGGTGCATATGCCTTCCTGGCCAAGGTAGGAGGGCGCATGCACCGATCCTGGGCTCAGGATGGGCCTGGCCAGAATCGGTGTATGTGCAGGGTTCTCTTTCCTCTAAGAGAGCCGAGTCGTGGCCCGAAAACCCGGGGGACGGCGTGGACCACCACCACCGAGAACCCATCAGTGGGGGGCTGACCCCTCCGGGTCCCTTTCGATCCGATCCATGCTGTCCGATCTCGGCTTTGGCCAGCTCGCTCCGATCCGATTTCGATAATCTTCAGGAGGGGAAAAAACACACAGACACAATAAATCGTCGATCCCCAGGACAATATGCGAAAATATGGGAAGTGGGGGGGAAGACAAAAACGCAGAAAGTATAGGAAATTATGGGGGATATTTTTATTTGTGTGTATTTATTTGTGTGTCCCAGTTCCCTTTCAAATCTGGCGATCCCATGATCTAGGTCTCCAAGGTGGGGTCGGGGTAGATGGGGTCGCAGGATCGCGCCGCATCGCCGATGCATCGCCGATGCGGCTCGATGTGCAGCCCGATTTGCGTCACATCGACGTCGCCGATGCATCGCCCACGTCGACGATGCATCGCCGGTGCATCGCCGATGCATCGCTGATGCATCGGCGATGTATCGGCGATGCAGCGCGATCATTCGACCCCATCTACTCCAACCCCTTCTAGGAGGCCTCTACATGAGGCCCGATGCTTGCAAGGCGTTGTGGTGCATCTGGGCGCACCGATCCGCTTCGGTTTCGACTCCGTGCCGGTGCCGCCTGGTCCGACGCGCGTTCCGATGCGATCGGGTTTCTCGAGTCGATGCTGAACGATCCTGCCCCCTGGCAGTGGCATTTTGTCGGGCCTGTCCCTCTACAGAAGGAATATTCAAAAATAGAAAAAAATAGTCTGGGGACGATTTTTTTGGAGTATTTATGGCCATGTGTGTAAATTGTTGATCATTTTTGGTTTTTCGCCCCAAGTCCCCCTGCAGGAGGACAGGTCCGACAGTGGCACGCCCGAGCGTCACCCCAACTCAAGTCGACGCCCAGGCGTGCCACCGTCTGGGGGCCCTCGCCGACGGGTTCTCGGTGGCGGTGGTTTGCGTTCCTGCACCCCCGCCGCTGCGAGCGCAAGGCGGAGGGAGACGGCGGCACCACTGCATCATGGGGAGGAAGAGGTACCGATGCCGCGGCTCGTCCTTCGGATCTCGAGGAGCAGCCAGTGACATAAGCATGAACTTGCGGAGGCCTGCGCGGATTTCTCGGATTTGCGCTGGAGCCCCCCTAGCCGCGCCTCCGGCGCCGCCCCTGGCGCGCTCCGCGCGCGAGGGAGGGGGGCCCAGCGCCGATCCGAGCAATCGTCGCGGGTCTCCGAGAAATTATGGTCATGCCGTTTTTTGTGTTCCTCTGCTCCTCTCGTCGCCACGGCCCGAATCTCCTCGAAGTGCTGGTCAGAGGGCACCCTAGGACAGGTCTCGGGGAGCAACGGTACCATTCCCACAGGGCCATGGTATCTCAGCCCCTCCACAGGGCTCATTCCGACTCCTCCGATTCGATGCGATTCGCTTTCGATGAGCTCCGATTCTGATTCGATTCGACCTCGGATTCCGATTCTGATTCTGATTGCGAAGGCCTTACGGCCGGTGCCGCCGACCCTGAATGGCGGCGACGACGATGACGACGACGAGCGCTCTTGGGGGCCTCTTGGGGGTAGTTTGTGGGCCTCTTGGGAAGCTCTCAGGGGCCGCTTGGAAGCCTCGTGGGGGCCTCTTGGGGCTTCCTGGGGGTCGTCTCTTGGAGGGGGCCTGGGACGTCTTGGAGGCTTCTTGGACAGTCTTGGGGCTATCGTGGGCGTTTTCGGTCGGCCGATCTTTGGGCGACTCGGGGCCCTCTTGGGCCGTCTCGGGGGCCATCTTGGGCATTCGGACCTCATTTGGAGTGTTTTCGAGGTTTCTAGGCCGCCCGAGGGAAAACGAATCTGCCCCCCCACCCCCCCCGGGACCCCCCCGGCCCGGGACCCCCCCCCCCTGGGGATTCCGATTCTGATTCTGATTTCTCAACGGAGGCCCATTGGCCTGCGGCCCCACAACGAGCTCCACCGAAGGCCCCAGCGACTGCGTCCGCATGCGTTTCCCCCATCCAGTACAACGTTTCGTGGCCCCATAAGGCGCTCCACCGAAGGCCCAGTGGCTGCGTCCGCATGCGTTCCCCCCACCCAGTACAACGTTTCGTGGCCCCATAAGCATGCGTTTCCCCACCAAGTACAACGCTTCGTGGCCTCATAAGCGGGCTCCACCGAAGGCCCCAGTGGCGGTGGTGTCTGCATGCGTCTCCCGCACTCAGCACAGCGCTTCGTTCGCATGCGTCTCCTCCACTTAGTACATCGTTTCGTGGGCCCATGAGGAGCTCCACCTAAGGCTCCAGTGGCGGCGATGTTCGCATGCATCATCTCCCCCGCCCAGTACAACGCTTCGTGGCCCCTTAGCGAGCTTCACCGAAGGCCCCAGTGGCGGTGTTCGCATGCGTCTCCCCCGCTCAGTACAGCGCTTCGTGGCCCCGTAGGGAGCTCCACCGAAGGCCCCAGTGGCGACTTTCGTGTGGGGGGCGTCGCTTCCGGGGAGCAGAAAAAGGATGGGGGTGCTTCTAGTAGGGGAGGTCCAAAGGGGGGGGGAAACTAAGCCCCCCCCCCTTTGGGAAAGGGAGGGGGGGGGAGCTTCCGGAGGACCAAAGGAGGGGGAAGGGGTAGCTTCAGAGGGGCGGAAATGGGGGCTTCTGGCAGGGGAGGTCCAAGAGGGGGGGGGTAGCTATATAAGCCCTCCCCCCCTTGGGAAAGGGGGGGGCGTAGATTCGGGAGCGCGAAACGCGAAAGGAGGAGGGGTAGCTTCCGAGGGGCGGACAACAAAAAGAGGGCAGGGGGGCTTCCGGCGGGGGAGGTTCACGGGGGGGGGGGGGGGGGGGCAGCTGAGCCCCCCCCCCTTGGAAAGGGATGGGGGGACGCAGCTTCCGGAGCGCGAAAGGGAGGGGGGGCAGCTTGCTTCCGAGGGGCGAGAAAATGGAGAGGGTTTTTTTTTTTTTTTTGTTTTTTTTTTCCGGAAGGGCAGGTCGAGGGGGGGGGTAGCTGAGGCCCCCCCCCTTTGGGAGTGCGCCACGGGCGCGCTCTCTCGACGCTTCAGTAAGACATCCTTCGGAAGGAATCCTTATTGAGGGGTCCGTACCAAGGAGTCCGTAGCAGGGAGTTCTTCATGATGGATCTAGGATCCTATAGAGTCCGTGTCGGATCTCTGTCGGATCCCGTAGAACAATTCCCAGCATACGTTCGCTTCACCTGTGCGGACATGCATCAACGCTGGCAAACTCCCATGGATACCCCGAAGGCGTCCTTCAGTGGGATTCCCATCGGGACTCCCACGGATCCATAGGTCCATAGGGATCCACAGGGATCCACAGAGATCCACCGGGATACATCGGGATCTATCGGGATCTTTTTGTCTCTGTTCTTGCCGTCGTTGCTCCACCCCTCACCAGACCCAGTGCGCGATGCCAGCCTCTATCGCCTGCATTGAGATCAAGTTTCGGAGCTCCGCGTGGATGTCTCGAATCGGCGCTGGGCCCTCCTGTCGGCGCCTCTGGCGCCCCTAGCGCGCCCCGCGCGCCATGCAGTGGTGTCCTAGCGCCGATCCAAGAAATCCGCGCGGAGTTCCGAAAGGTTGTGCTTATGCAGCTTTTGTTGCTTCTCTAGACAATTTTCCCCGTCTCGTAGGGTCGCCCCCGCGGGGCGAACTGGTGAAGCTACCAGTGTCCACTGTCTTCGTCCCCGCCTCTTCCTCAGTCTCCGCCCGTCCTCCCCCCTTCCCCCCACTGCTGTCCGATCATTGTCTCACGGAAGCCAGCACGACGCACGGGCCTTTGATGTCAGATCCCATATTGTGGTGGCGGTGTTCTTCGACGCGCTTGGCGAAGTTGCGCGATGCATTTTTCTAGTTGGGGGCTATAAGTGGTGGATAAGCGCATGAGCTCGCGGAAAAGACGGGCACCGAGGCCGCAGCGCGCGCGCGAGCGCGGCGTCGTTCCCTTCTCGTCTGGATTTGCGCCGCGCTGCGCACAGGCGACAACTGATTCGTTGGCCGCCAGTGCTCGGGGACACGCAGCAGCATAGCATACGCAAGGGCTCCCACGAGGGCGCGAAGTTATTCGCGCTTCGCGCTTCGCGGTCCTCGTTCCTTCTCCCCCTCCTCCTCGTCCTCCTCTTCTTTCCCTTTGGGAGGGCGGCGCGAGAGCGCGAAGTTATTCGCGCTTCGCGCTTCGCGCAGCGCGAAGCGCGAAGTTGGGGACACGCAGCAGCAGCACAGCATACGAATCGTGCAGGGCCTCAGCGGCTGGACCCGCCAAGGGGGGATCCTTCGCCGACCGAGACGTCCGCGAGGATCAGGAGGGAAAGAAACACACAGACACAATTAATCCTCGATCCCCAGGAAAATATGGGAAAATATGGGAAGTGGTGGGGAAGACAAAAACCCAGAAAATATGAGAAAATATGGGGGATATTTTTATTTGTGTGTATTTATTTGTGTGTCCTAATTCCCCTTTAGAGGATCTCGGACAAAAAGGTACTGTTTGTCCAGCCGCCCGCGGCAAGCCTCGCCGCCTGGCCGGGGCAGCAGCGCAGCGTGCTGAAGACGCGTGCTGGGACTTGCCTGTGGCCTCTTGAGGGCCTCTCGGACCTTTCGGGAGGCCTATCGGTCCTCCTCCTCTTCCCTCCTCCTCCTCCTCCTCCTCCTCCTCCTCCTCCTCCTCATCCTCCTCCTCCCTCCTCCTCCTTCCCTCCTCCTCTCTCCTCCTCCCCTCCTTCCTCCTCCTCCTCCTCTCCTCCCCCTCCTCCTTTCCTCCTCCTCCTCCTCCTCCTCCTCCTCCTCCTCCCCCTCCTCCTCCCCCTCCCAAATGTTTGGTGGATTGTAGGGAGGGGCTTTTGGGGCCTCTTAAGGGGGTCTCTTGGGCCCTTGGGGGCATGTTGGGGGTCTTGGAGGCAATCCTGTAGGAACCGGCTGTCAGGCCAACTCGATTTCCTCCTCTTGGTCTCTTGGGTCCTTCGTCTTTGGGCCCCTGGTGCCGTCTTGGAGCGCCCCTGGGCCATCTTAGGGCCCCCTTGGCGGTCTTGAGGGCTCTCTTGGGCCGTCTTGGAGTCCCCCCGGGCGTCTTCGGTACGTTTTGGGTTGTTTGGGGTTTTCGGAAGGTGGAAAGGGCAAACATTCGACGCTCGGTTCACATCCCAAGGACAAACATTTTCGTGTGCTCTCGAGTTCCTTGTTGGCGTCCTCTTGGGGCCCTCTCGGGCCGTTTGAGGGACTCTTCGGCTGCTTTGAGGCCGTCTTGAGTCATCTTCGGGCCGTCTTGGAGTGTCTGAAGGCCTTCATGATCAGTGATCGTTTTGGAGGCCTTTTGGCCATCTTGGGGCGAGATTGGCTGTCGTGGGCATTTGTTTTGTGGTCTTGGTTGTCTTGGGATGTTTGTTGTGCTGCTTTGGCTGATGTTTGTTGTGCTATTCGAAGTTTGGTATGTTTCTGGCGGTTTTGCGTTTGTTTGGGAGGTGTGGGCTTGCTTTATTGATATTTCTGTTCTTTTCATGTTCTGTTCAAGTTAAATTCGAACCGTGCCCGACATAGGCTCTGGTGTGGGGGGGCGCGGTTGTCAAACCCTAGGCTCAACCCGAGAATGGGGTCGCTCCTAGAATCATGAATGAAACTTTCGCAGACGGCAGAGGAGGATTCTGAAACGCCCTAAGGCACCCGAGGCACTGTGGCAGATGCAGTTGTTTTCCTTCGAGCTATTCTGATTTACCACAGGCGCCCTGCTACTTCGACCATCGAGGCTGTTTCCCTTCTCCTCCTCTCTCCTGTGGCATGTCGACGCCCTGGACATACTGCAGCCGCCCTCCTTGTTCTTGCCACCCGCTGGTACGAGGGTGCACAACAGCAGCTCTGGCTCCGAAGGGTGCCCTCTGGAATGTTCGGTCTTTGCATTTCGGACCCCCTCCCCCCTCCAGCGGAGACCGCGGAGGTGGCGGCCGCCCTCAGCCCGCCCACGGCGTACTCGCGGCGCCGCCCTGCCAGTCGCGGCGCTCCGCGCCTCCCACCGCCCCGCAGGGTGAGGCGCGCTCCTCGCCGCCCTGTAGCCAGTCTCCACCCGAAGACCGCCCGCTGCGTCTTCCCTGAGTACCCACCGCCTCGCGGCGGACCGCGCCAGGGTGGCCATCTGGACGCTCGCCAGGAACAGGCAGGAGGGCACCGAGCCCCGCCCTCCCACCGAAGGAGATGCTTCGGTGGCCACATGTGCACCCCACCCCACGCCCCCACGATTTCTATGGCGGGGTGGGTTTTCACTTCGTTCGGGGGCGCCAGAGCGGAGTGGACCCCCACACCCCCTTAGACAAAATCGTGGGGGGTGGGGGTAGGGTTCACGTGTGGCCACCTAGTGATGATGCGCTTCTTTGTCCATTGGCCATGCACGTGGGTTCCATCTGCCTACCTGCGACCTGGTTCCGCGATGGTAACACATGGCGATCCTCCAATCCAAGTTCTGGACTCTTTGGAGGCGTTTTCTCAGCTAAACCAGGATCGAAGCCATCCACGTGGGTTCCATCTGCCTACCTGCGACCTGGTTCCGCGATGGTAACACATGGCGATCCTCCAATCCAAGTTCTGGATTCTTTGGAGGCGCTTTCTCAGCTAAACCAGGATCGAAGCCATCCACGTGGGTTCCTTTGGCCTATCTGCGACCTGGTTACGCGATGGTAAAATATGGCGATCCTCCAATCCAAGTTCTGGACTCCTTGGAGGCGGTTTTTCTCAGCTAAACCCAGGCTCGAAGCCGTCCACGCCGCTGGGCCCAGCCCTCGCCGCGACGTGGCGATCCCCCAATCGAAGTTCTGGATTCTCTGGAGGCGTTTCCTCAGCTAAACCCAGGCTCGAAGCCGTCCACGTGGGTTCCTTTGGCCTATCTGCGACCTGGTTCCGCGCTGGGCCCAGCCCTCGCCGCGACATGGCGATCCCCCAATCGAAGCTCTGGACTCTCTGGAGGCGTGGCTTTTCTCAGCTAAAACCCCGGCTCGAAGCCGCCCACGCCGCTGGGCCCCGCCCTCGCCGCGACATGGCGATCTATGGCGATCTTTGGAGGCGTGGCTTTTCTCAGCGAAACCCCGGCGCGAAGCCGTCCACGCCGCTGGGCCCCGCCCTCGCCCAGGAGGCGCGCGACGCGCTCCTCCGACGGCCGAGCCGCGGGCTCCGGGGCCGCACGTGCGCGGCAGCACCCCACGCGGGCGCCGGCGGCCCCTCCCCGGGGCGGGGAGGCGCGGGCGGCCTGTCCCCCCGTCGGGAGCTCTCGAGTCAGGAGGGAACAAAAACACACAGACACAATTAATCCTCGATTCCCCGAAAATATGGGAAAATATGGGAAGTGGGAGGGAAGACAGAAACCCCGAAAATATGGGAAAATATGGGGGATATTTTTATTTGTGTGTATTTATTTGTGTGTCCCAGTTCCCCTTCATCGAGGCCACCCGTGCTCGCTTCTGATTGTGCTCGTTTCTAACCGTTCCTGCCCCCCCTGGTGGCCAGGAAGAGGCCCAGGATGGAGCAATCAGAGATGAGAGGACCCTGGCCCCCCAAGGATCAAAGGACTTTCCTCAGAGCCCCGAATCATCAGGGGTAACTCGGGTCAGGGCTAACTCGGGTTCCTTTTTCGGGAATCCAAACCCGAGTTACCCCGGACCCGAGTTACCCCGGATAACTCGGGCGCCCAATTTCCAATACTTAGAAACGAACAGTGTGTACCTCTGTTGATGCCCCCGGGCCCGGAACGGGCCTCCGGAGGCCGACATCCAGGATCAGCAGCTCCTGCAGTCGTCGCGCCTGCGAGAGGACGCGCGACAGGACACGAGGCTCCTCCGACGGCAACGGGGCCTCCGACAGCCACAGGACACGAGGACGCCCTGCCGAGGCCGCGGCCGCGGTCACCCGCGACCGAACCGCAGCCTCGCGAAGGGGGTCGCACGCCGGGCAGGGCACCAAGAGCACCCTCAGGCCGAACGCGTAGAGGTCATGAGATGGGATGGACAGGACACAAGAGTACTCCAGATTTCGTAATAAAAGGGAGGGGGTCTCATTTCGGGGGGGGGTCTCTTCCAGGCTATCTTGGAGGGCCTGGGGGGGTCTGGGGACGATGTTTTGGAGGGTTCTCCCACGGGGGGGGGTCTGAAATGGCTTGTCTTGGAGGCTTCAGACCCCCTCCCTTTTATTACGAACTCTGGAGTACCCTTGATTTTGCAGGGTCGACCTCCCGATGCGCGCCGGCTGTATTGCCAGCGGACTGTTGTTGGTTGTGCAAATTCAATGAGCGTAACTTACCTGGAAAGTTTGGGAGTCAAGAGGGAGCCAAAAGGGAGCCATCCCTTACGACGCCGACCGACGACAACAACCGACCGGCCGACAGACCGACAACAACCGTCAGACCGTCAGGCCGACGGATCGAGAGAGTGACGGACGTAGGACGACGCGGACGACGACGATGACGCTGACGCCGACGCCGATGCCGACGCCGACGACGCCGATGACGACGATGGACGACGACAACTACGGCTGACTGACCGACCGACCGAGACGACGACGAACGACGACGACAACCTACCGACCGACCGACGAACCAACCCAGAAGACGAAAACCGACGACGACGAGGAGCGACGCACTGGCCAACCGACAAACCGACGACCGACGACCGGACCAACCGACGGACCGACCGCGCGCGCACGAACGCGCGCGCACTGACCCCGTTTGAGAGCGAGGCGTGAATTCAACAGGAGCCGCACCCCCAAGCCCGACCCCTCCTCTTCCCCCCGCCCAATGGATAGGTTTCAAAGGTCTACGCGGGGTGTTGTTCCAGTCAGTAGATTTTGCAGATGAAAGGGTTCCAGACGCTTGTGCCCACATGACCACATCGCTCCAGCCTTTCAAGTTCACGAAGGAAACAGTCCA